ATAATTCAATGAAATTTGATGGGAAACCAAATCCAAAATAAATAAAACTAAAAATTCAGGGCATTATACAGCCCATGCTTGAAGGTCAGATAGCAGGATATTGCAAGTAGATTGGACATATTGTCTGGAAAATTTTTGTATTTAAGTACATCTTGCCAATTTATGTACCTGGTAACGTTCAGGGGCCTTGGACGATTGCCATTAAATATAGGCACTCTTTAAGTCTTTTTCGATTAAAGCCACTTCTGGCATGATAGAAGTATAGGAACTCTTATTGGAATTAGGACTTTTGTACTGGCCAAGCTGCAGTGAAATCTTTGACTTGTTAATATTAGGTGGCTAATTGCTATTTTTGTCAATTGTGATTTTGGTACATATATAAAATTTATGGGAACGTTTCTTTTGATAGTGAGAAACTAATAGGTTGCAATGCAAGATGGTTGGCTGTTTTCCTTTCTGCCATTAATTTTCCCTCATAATAAATAAAGTTCTGAGTTGGTCATCCTGGAGATGTACTGGGATGTAATGATCAAATGTACCACAGTTTTGGCCCAATGTCATTCACCATAAAAGACTAAAAGTTAAATGCCTTTTCCATGCTTATGTTTACGATCACGACTAACAGAACGAGTCTTTCCTTATTTCCATGTCAGATTTGTCAATTAAGAAGTGTGTGCCCTGCAGCAGAAAGGAACTGAGGCCTATGACTGAGGAGGCAGCTCAACATCTGATTCGACAGGCATGCACTCACTTTTGATATCTGCTTCCTTTTGTATAAATTTGGAGTTTCTTAATAGGCATTCCACCATCCAGGTTGGTGAGTGGAATTTGGTGAATGAAGGTGGTACATGGAAGCTACACAGGTCATGGAAAGTTAAAACTTTCATGAGGGGAATGGAGTTTTTTCAGCTCATAGCTGCTCTTGCAGAAGCAGAAGGTATTCCATCAACTTTTTCTCTTATTTTGCATCAGTATTTGCTGCTCTCTGCTCTGCAGGAAAAGTGTCCATTGTGTTATTTAAGTCGTTTAGTTGAAATTAAGGTGGTACCTTCGTGTTTTTGTTATGTGCCCTTTCATTAGTACATTAGTTCTCTTGGTTATTTTAGAATACCTTACTGATCCCACCTGGTGTTACAATCCCTCCCTTCAACATGCATTCGGCATGATTTATCCAAGATGACTACTTGAATAGGGGTTGCCTAGAGTGAAAATTTTATTTGTTGAAGGATTTTTAAAATGTTACCTTCTCTGTTGCCTTAATCATAGAGCCAGCTTGAAATCATTCTGCCTGACGAGAACCTAGTACAGACCACGAACATGTTTGGCTTAGCTTATCCCTAATCTTTACAGTATGTCTGGCTTCTGTTTTATTCTAATGATTAGTCTCTGACTGGAGACAGTCTTCATGCCATATAATATTTCTCATATACGTTGATGGAAGAGGTGAATTGCCATAGCTTGGATCATATAGGCCTTTGTTAGTGCGATCACTCGTGTTTACCCTACTCTTCAAGCCTATCTGACATAGATGATGTGATCGTTACAAAGTAAGCTGGGGATGCTTGGGTTCATCGTAATTTTGGCATCACTACTTAAAATCCCAAGTGGACTTGTAATATAAACCTGAAAGTCTGAGACAGAGTTCAGTTGATGGTGCCTTGGACCTACTCCCTCCTATAATACTGAATTATTTAATTTGTATTAATTTCTCTGCTGAAGGTTCCTCCTATAAAGCAATAACCAGTAGTGTCTCAGTTGAATATAGCCCTCTTGTGAGGGAGTATGGTAATTGTGGTTCATCATATTCGTTTACACATGAATCGGATGCACTCTTATTTTATCAATCACATGTACGTTAATCATTAAAAGTGCTTCAACTCCATAGGTCAAGGCACACTTTGAATCTTAAATAAGGCATTTTATTTATTTATTTTCTTCTTCTGGATAAAAAAAAAATGTCTTTGTGCAGGTCATCATCCAGATATTCATCTTGTTGGGTGGAATAATGTGAAAATTGA